AAGCAAGGAAGCAAGGAAGCAAGGAAGCAAGGAAGCAAGGAAGCAAGCAAGCAAGCAAGCAAGCACCAAACGCAAACCAAAAGAAACAATGAAAGTTCACAAAAGCAAAAAAGCAACAAAGCGACAAAGGTGAAAAAACAGCGAAGGAAAAGCGACAACAAAACTGAAAAAATATCCAGAAAGGAAGAAAACCATAGAAAACCCTAATATATACAAGATGCCGCTCCCTTACGAAATTGCCCAGCAAGGGGTTTGAGTACTGTTTAGTTCAGACACACATAACCGGGGTCTGGTTTTAGTTCATACAGATTCCTGCCAAGCTGCACTACATGCAGCAGGTATCGGCAGTTGGTCGAAAGGCAAGTGAAAGTAGAAAATGACCGCTGCATGGATTCTAGTGTCCTTCAGAGGTCCATTGTCTTCTTTGACCTCAAGAGAGAACCAAAAGCCCCTTGTCCTGCGGATCAATTGCCAAGGCGCGCAAACTCAATGGCAAAAATGGCCAGCTGTGAAAGAGACGTCGACCTTAATTTGGAGAAGCCGATGGACTTGTCACGGGTCGCGGCGAATTCATCGACTGCACTTGATTGTTCTGTTCTCCACAAAATCGGCAGTTGGGCGCTGCCCCCGGAATCCATTTCTGGCAAAGAATCTTCGGACAAACAGTCGGGCCTGACCATGCTGTTCTTATGGACCACACATGCCACAGAGTCTCCTTCCTACCTCTTTGCAAGTGACTCATATAGGAGCCCTTCCACAACATGGGCGCGTGCTCCCGCCACCCCACCGCTCTCACATCGCTCGACAGCAGTGGGGCCCCGAGCTGATCATAACGCAAGGCGGCCTCTGCTCCACCCGCAAAGAGAATGTCTCGAAGGTCCTGGAGGAGCGCCGCGAAGCTATCGATAGGAAGAATCAGTCCAAGTGGGAGAACCATGGAAAACCTCCAGGTTTTTGGTAAGGAGAAGGAGAATCCACTTTAATTGTAGATTGTCTGGTAGAACAACTCTATGATGGAACCCTGGAACACCTCCAGGGTGTATATAGAAAATCGTCCGATCCAACCATGGTGTTAGTTAAATCAATCAGATCGGAAAACTAATGATGATAGTGGCCATATTATGGGGAGGTTGCCTCGAAACCATGGAAAATGAGGAGAACGCGAAAACCAAATTGACAAGTCATTGGAAGATGCACACCTGGCTCCATAGTGCGATGTATGCACAAACGAAAAAGCAAAAAAAGCAATCCATGATGCAAATCCAAGGACACTCAATTAAGGATGTTAAACAAAATTGACTGGATCCTCCGGCCCATGGCCCCTTCATAAAAGTTCACTCCTTGTATTGGACTCTAAGACCTTCCTATTGTTGAGACAAATCCATTACTAAACCCCTCGGCCCACCTCCAAGTCCCCCAGCTCTCCACCCAGCCGGTCCCCGGTGGGCTCCAACAAGGGATGGCCCTCCAACAGCTGGGCACAGCGGTCTAAGGCTGCCTTGAACGTTTCCTTGGCACGAACGAAAAATTGCGCTGCAGGAGGGACGTGTTGCTACCGGCACTGGGGTAGTTCCGTTCGCGCGAGAGGTCCCAAGAAATCCGCACTCACACCATTCCAGATTCACAGGCGTTGGTGGTTTCATCTTCACTTTGGAGTCGTGCAGGCTTTCAGGCAGACGTTTGGTTATTAGTTTCCGGGCAGAAGAGGGTGCGGTCTTTGTCTATGACCAATGTTGAATGGACTTTCCTGATGAAAGCCATCTTTGTTTGGGGCCATGTTGATCGTTGATCGGGAAAAGAGGCGCTCTTGGACCAAACAATACCTGCGAGAAATGTAAAAGAGTTTCATTGATGAGACCTGGCTTCTTGCGTTTGAGCATGTGCAAAAGTAGCTGGAATACTGCTGAGCAAGATAAAGGAGGGCCGGGCAGCTTTAGCAGGCGCAGTAAGGAAGACCTCTACAATCTACAACACGCCTGCCCCCAAGTAGAAAATCACTAGAGCTGTGCCCTTCTACGACGAGTGCACGAGAAAGCTCGCCGAGGCACGTCGCACTTGTAAAGTTTCAAGCCCATCTCTGGCAACTGGCTGCCCTGGCCTAGTGAGCACAGCTCAATTGTCGCTCGAATAGACAGCAAAAAAGTCGTGCCTGGTCACTGACCGTCCGGAGGTGGCTTAGTCCACAAATATCACAAACCCGAATGATTCGTCCGATGCCCTTGTTACTTTGATTCCACTTGGGTGTGTAGAATCGACCCACTTGGCTTTGCATCAACGTCAACTATGAGATTTGTCCATTGTCCATTGAATCTGGACGTGTGCAGTTGGACTTGCAACCCCATGCTTCTAGATAGAAGCCGACTTCCAGTGGGGCCGCTGTCCATTTCCATGTTTGTCCTGTTTGTCCACCTTCATGAACTGCACAATCCATGGTGACCTTCCCATCCACTCTAAACTGCATGTCGAAGGCAGTTCCAGGTTGCCTAATTGAGAACCTATTTCTGAGCCAATCACCGGAAGCTACTAGGAACAAGTGCATCGCTACTAGTAACAAGTGCCTTACTAGTAGTAACAAGAAGCCACTAGGAACAAGGTAAGCAATCACCTTCAGGGTTGTTGGACTTGTCACGGCGGTTCCTCAAAAGGCGCAATGGACGGGAATCAGGGGTCCTGACATTCAACATCATTCAACCCACAACTGTACAAAAGTCAAAAGAAATATGGTCAACCACAGCGTTTTTACCGATGACTCTGTGCTTGCTCACTGGTGGCACGGGGTCTCAGAATAGGTAACTGAAGAGTGCAAACCCTGTCCCGCAACTAGGAGCAAGGACGCTACTAGGAACAAGTGCATCGCTTCTAGTAACAAGTGCCTTACTAGTAGTAACAAGAAGCTACTAGGGGCTCCTGGCTCTGCACCCATCTTGGAAAAAGCACCTGACCTGCCTCACACCTTCACTCCCGCACCTGTGAAGAGGAAAGCAACCTTCTTCGGGTACTCCGGCTCCACCGGTGCCTCCTGTCCGGGTCGGGGTCGCCCCCTCTAATACTGGCCAAGAGGTGTCCAGCTTTGTCTCAGAATAGGACAGCGGGAAACAATCCTTTTGAATGGGGACCAAATGGTGTATCATTTATGATAACGTTCATGACCAGAAGCTGAGAGACTGAGACCAAGAATGTGGGAAAAGAATATATAAGAAGTCGGTAGCAAGGCAACCTAGTGGCCTTGTCTACCCAGTCTTCCAAAAAAGTGCTTGAAGCCAATCCTATTCGCAGCCTCAATTGTGTTTGGTTGCCCGCTGTCTTTATGCAAACAAAGCTATATCAATGTCTGGCAAAGGGAAACTTCTTTTGAAGCCATGTGCTGATCCCTCTTGTACAGCACAAAGAGACAGCCTCAAAGAGATAGCCATGGCATCATTCAGTCTCAAGCTGAAGACAGTCTGGTGGTGAATTGCTCCGATGACGATTGACCAATTATTATATATATCGGGTATCCTGGAATTCTGAATCCTTAAATAGGCAATCATGAAAGCGCAGCATGAACCGGCACAGTAGAGCCATGTTCGTCGTGCTAGATGGTGTTGTGAAAGTGAGTGTTTCGATCACCAAAGCCACTGGTTTCGGCTTCTCGAAGGCTTTCAGGGGATCATGTTCAGGGTCTATGCGAGTGTTCCATGGGCCACATGTGAATCGGTCAGGAATGGGTCCATAGCTTGCAAACAGTCCCCTTGCCTTGGTCCTTGAGGACATCAACAACCTGGCGACCGAGGGGGGGACCGGAGCCACTGTTTGAAACGCGTAACAGAGCAAACTTTTTTGTAGGGGCGGATCCCTCTTGAACAGAGTGAAATCCCTGCCTCTGCTTTGGGTAGCAGAAAACCATGTTTCTTGTATTTTGCCCTGCAGAAGAAACAAGGATGACAAACACAAATGCTCTTCAGGAAACGAGTAAAATAAACAGGAAACACGATGTCCCAGAGTGGCTATCCATACATCAAATGTGGGCGCCAACCTGCAGCATTTCTGCAGAAGATGATCTCAAAACCACCAGCCTTGCTTGGCTTTGAACAAAGTTCAGAAATGTACACTGCAGTTTGTATCTCTCTCTCCAGTACCCTTCTTCTGGCAAGAACTACAGGAGTATTCGTCCGCAGCTCGAGCTGCTTAAATTCAGAAAGGTTCTCTGAACCCAGTCGTTTGCAAACTCCCTTTGCCCATGCATTTTCTGTTCTCCCCGCCCGTCACTGGTTTCGGGTCTCTTCCATGCCAAAAGCAGCGCCGTCATTCTCGGGTGCCCGGGCGCGTGGGTGTTGGTGCCTCCGAAGCCGAAGGAAGAGACGCCCATGGCCGGGGCCTGTGGCGGCGTTGGAGATCTTTGTCCGTTGGAGTCTCTATCAAAGAATCAAAGAACAAATGACTTGGCGGAACTCGACTTGCTGGAAGGCCAAATCGCAGGTTTCTTCAACGGAGTGTCAGGGAAAAGTGGCACCTGTGGCAGATAGTACAGGCAACGGGACTCCAAAAATAGTGAGAACTGGCTTATGAAGGACGCGTGCACAAATGCCACTATGCCTATCTATGCCTTCAACGCTCTTGGTGGGAATAGTTGGGACGTCCAAGAGCTCTTGCGAGAGACCGGTATATTTGATCCTAATTGACAACTGCATCATCTTCGAGAAAAGGGCAAGAGCCAAAGTAGCATAGTTGTCCGTTGCCAGCCGCCCTGTGGCACAAACGGCACGCCTGAGAGGACGTCAACTCCGACACACTCAAGGGCATCTCCAAGCGCGAAGAGCTCAGGGAGATATGTGGATTCAACTCCTGACACTTGAGGCTCGTCACAGCACGAGGTGTTTGCAGCCGAGAGGTCTTCGTGTCTCCCAGCTATCTGAACGTGTGCAGTGAAGGAGAGAGCACTCATGGGGTTGGATGGGGGAGGGGAGGAACTGGATTTCAACTGTACTTCGAGGATGTGCAAGTGAAGCTCGACTTCCTCAAGCACAAGGATGGTGATGAGTTGAAAATGACCACAATCTGGAGAGGAGGTTACCTTCTCTGTGTCTAAGGGATGACATGTGTCTTCCACCTGTTCAACACGAGACTAATTATCCACTGAGTCTACTGGAGTGCTCGATTCACGGTGATTTGAAAACCGAAACGCCAAACCAGCGAGAAAGGTTCGCCCACTCGTCTGAATGAGTCAAGCTCCACCACTGTCGTCTCTTCCAGACAGATCCATGGACCAAGTTTCTTAACGCACGTCTCCCCCTTCAGCGTCAGGTCGCTGCACCGAGTTCGTCGGCTCGTCTCTTTTCTCGTGTGGCTCCTGGAAGTGAATGTTCGGTGGGACTTCGTGGCGCTGGAGGCAGGCTGCCACCTCAGCGCTAGCCGCTAGCCAGGGGAGCCCAGTCTTCTGGTCCGGGCGAGCGACTCCTCTAGGACCCGCAGGAGACGGGATGAGCTATGGATGACTCGGACGACAGTGGGCAGCTGCCCATGGTTGAACAAAAACCATGGGCAGACCTACTCAGAAATGTTCAAGCTGGATCTTTTGCCGCATCCCTGCTGTGGTCATCCTTTCTGCCTTGGACAACCATCTCGAAACCACAACTATTTATATGTACTGCATACAGTTCTGTGCATTGAAATGCCACTGAAAAGTAAATTTGACAGAATAGTAACATCAATGTTGGCATCAGTATAGTTTTGGTCGGGAAGTGGAACTCTGATAGGCTCAAGACTACAAAGAATCGTCTGGAAATTCAGACAACATATATATATACTATACTATATATTATGTAATATACAAAGTGTTACCATCATTCACGTGAAAGGATCAGACACCTATACTATAGATACCTATACCTTTTCAGTCTCGTCTGTGGTTTTCGCGAGTGGCCTCGATGCCTTTGGGACAACCATTCCACAGCCCGTCTTCCACAGAAATGCTTCCGCACGAGCAGCCTTCATCAGGCCAGCAAAGCCTGCACGGTGCTGGAGCAGGAGCAGTGTGGATAGGCACCAAAGACCAAGGTCATGATGCCATGGAGCCCCTTAAGAATAGAAATAAAAATACCAAAACAAAAACATAACTCCCTTTGCTCATTCTGGGTGGACCTCGCTCAAACACAAGGACCAAGGCCTCAACCACCAGCTTCTTGCCTCCATACCCCGCAGCGACTCCGGGCCTGCAGCGCCTTCCAAGTGTCCGTGATTCGATTTTCCAGCCTCGGTCGAAGAAGACGGGGTGGAAAGCGTTTGATTCCTAATCAGGTTCCGTCCATGTCTTGCGGCTTCCTGTGATGAGACAGCTTAAGGTGGTCGTTGTCCACTTCTATGTAAGTGAGTTGCAGGTACATCCAAATCAGAGTCATTCCTAAATTGCCTGTTGCTGGGGCTCCGGGAGTGGCTCTTGTCGTGACGCAGTTCATACTCAATCAGGGAAGACTCACAAGAACTCACTCAAGTCGGAACATGTCGGAACCATTATCCCCACCAATCCGGGACAACCATGCCGACGAAGAATGTAAAACCACACTTAGAATCACCACGTAGCAACACGTGCTCGGCCGGTCCATATATCCGCTCCATCCCTGCCATGGCACTGCCAAGTAGAGCTGTGGGCTTCCTTCTTCCTGCCGCCTTGGCGAGACGGACTCATAGACGTATCTCAAACGTCCAAACCGTCAAACCCAAGCGATGGGCACACACTCACACACTCACACACTGCAAGAAATGCACAAAAGACTGACCCGGCCACTCTCAATCTCCATCCATCCAATCATCCCACTCTCACACCCATCGATTCATAATCGCCACAGCAGTTCACCGAGACACCCCAAGGCCGCTTTGATGGCACCAACCTCGATGGGGTCGCCCAGGGCGGTGCCCGTGCCGTGGCCTAGGAAGACCAGGAGGTTCTCGTGCAGATGAGCAAAGGCACAACGGGAGCCCTCCAAAGCCAAAACATAAAGAGATGTCTGAAAGGAAAGGCTAAGCTAAGCAAGAATGACTGAAATACGATGAAGTACGCGAGCTCATAAGCTCATGCAATCACCTATATAAGTGGTATTGCATGATGCTGTTGCATTTGCCAGGTGCTCTGGGTGGGTACCTCTTTCTTAGATCCTGTTCGTTCGGCACATTGGCTCAAAGAGGACAGGTCACACTCGAGTAAATCTGTGTAGACCAGGGCCAACGAAGAAGCATTTTGGGTCACAAACGTTCGATGACCAGCTCAGAGTTGTCCTCTAGGAGGTAAACATGTGGTGTAGGGTTTTGAAAAATCCTTCGGATTCTCTCAGCACCCGCCATGTCAATCGGTCGAAGACCCCTGCTATTCCGCACTTCTGGGTCTGCTCCTGCACGGAGCAAGAAAGCCAAATAGTCTTCGTTCTCAAAAGTCACGCACCAGCCCAAAGGCGTGCTGCTCACATCCCGAAGCCATCTCACAACTGCACTCGGCTTGCTGCAACACTTGCTGTAGGCCTGAGAGATCCATTGGACGCTCCTTGCTAAAAGGCCTTCCGGTTGGCAAACTTGGTTCATGTCTGCCCTGCTCTCCAGCAACAGCTGGGCTGACCTGAGCTCATTCGGGGAGTCACCACAGAATGCAATAAAATGCAAAGGCGAGGCACTTGCAAACCCTCCCCTACCGCCCGTCACATCCGCTCGAAGCTCCAGCAGGGTGGCCAGCACTTCGCATGGAGCTCCAAAGGCAGCCACACTGTGGATGGGGCACAGTTGTCCCAAGGTCTTTCCCTGAAGATTCACTCCTGCCTTATGCCGAACCAAAAGCTCCACAGCTCCAGCTGTGCGGCAAAAGCCAAGGGGTGGATCTACATTCAAGGTGCAGCTGTTGGGGTCAGCGCGCAAGTCCAAGAGTGTCTCCAAGATGCGTAGGTCCTGGCTTCTGAACCACACAGCCAAATGCACTGGCGTGAAGTCTGGAAGGTTCATGACCTCGGGCAAACCTGGCATATGGCTCTGAAGGGAGGCCTTGGCCATGACAAGGTTGCGAATGAGTTCGACATCTCCGGACAGAGCCGCGCAAGCCACTGGGCCAAGGCCGCGGTGCTGGTTGAGAGGCTTCGAAAAGGAAAAATCCATTAGGAACTCCTCAACGCTGCGAAGCTCGCTGGCCAGACCTGTCATATCTTCAAAAAGTGATAAGTACAGTCGGTAGACAGTCTTGTTCTTGGCGAGACTCAGCTGGGCAAGATATTGGGTCAATGCTGTTCGAATAACACTTCTACAGGAAGAGCGATCCTTCTCCACACCAAAGTCCCCCAAGTGTACTGGGTAACGATGCCACTGAGGTTTCACGAATTGCGCCAAATCATGGCTTTTCACGGCCACGATAGGCACCTTGGAGGAGAGGAAATGGCACCAAAGCTCTGTACGACACCAACCCCTGGCAAGCCAACTGTGGAAGGAACATGGTGATCCTGTTTCGTGGCGAGCTTTTGGCACCAAAGCCAGAAAAAGATTGCAATGGTCCACGTAGCTGGGAATAGTGTGAACATATTGCAGCTGATCTTCGGCCAGTCCATCTGCATGGTCGTCCACAAGCTGAGGCACACAGAAGTAATCTAACCAAAGGTACGCATCCCGTATTTGACGGAGCTCTGCTTCGGTCAGTCTGCCACCGTTCCATTGCAACAGAACATCCGTTTCGATCTTGAGCTTCCTGGCAATCAAGTTGCTCAAGCAGCCTTGCAGCACTCGCAGCTGCTCTCCATTCGGATCAGGATGATGGCGGCCCAGCCACTGGTGCGAGACAAAGATCGTAAACATCTTCGGACTCCACTTTTCCAGAAGACCTTCGGCCTTCAAGGTTTGATGTGGCCGGAATCTCTCCCTCATCTTCAGAAGATGCTCAACCTTCACCACCCACATGGGGGCATGCTGTTGATGCTCCGATTTGAAGCCGTCATCTGAGCGACTCGAACAAGATCCCATGGCTTAGCTGTCTTGGAGTGATCTTTAATAAGCTCTATAGTCTTTATGGTAGCTGCTTTTAAATTTGTGGGGAGCAATTCAACTGGCACCGACACTATCCAATGAGGGTCAGCATGGGCCTCAATAGTGTTCCAATATGTTCAATTCTTAGTTCTACCTTCTTTGATCCATCAAGGATGCTGCAGCAGCAAGGCAACAGAACTTATCTGCCAGCTTCTTCAACTCAACCTCTTCTAGGGTCCTCTGGGTGGGTGCTAGTTGGTGACGGGTTCCTTCAAGCCGCTGCTTAGGGTCTAACAACCACCCCCGAAAAGGGTCCGCCTCTGAACACAGAATCCAGCCCCTGCAAAGCCGAACAAGAAATTTTGAGCATGTAGAAAGAACAAGAGCCACCAGTGGTCAACCATATTGGAAAGAGGGGAAAACTGCTCATTCCCACACCTTGTATCTGTTGATCACCTGGTTTTCCACAGCAGGTTGCATAAGCACCGCCTGGGGTTCCCGGGCACTCCAAGGCGTTCAGCGCCGAGGCCGGAAAATGAGCCTCCCTGAGAGCCATCACCAGGAGCTCCTCTTGGCTAGGTCCTCAATGAAGCCCCGTCGGGGTCGGGGTCCGGGGAAGAAACTCATGGCAAGAGATCTTCTATCTGCTAGCTGTGCTAGCTCTGTGGCTCTTTTCAAGTTCAACACTTGTGGTGACCATGTGGAGCAAACAAACTGCGGGACTGCGGGACAAAGGATGCGCGCCGAGGGGCCGTTGGGTGCGGTGAGGGTGGCGCTCTTGCCATCTTGGTTCATCACCTTAGCTTGTCGCATGGCCTGGAAGATGATGTGAGGTGTTGTGCCTTGAACCACAACCCTTCTTCTCAGAACAGAAGACGGAGTGGAGTGAATGGACCAAAGAGTGGTTCCATTGTGGAAAGGCGACAAGAGAGAATCTAGAGCATCCAACTAGTTCAAGTTCTAGGAACCCTTGAGCAGCTTCTTTAGTGTAAGTGTAGGTCTGCTTGCAGGTGAGCCACTACTGCGCGAACCTGGCGAACGGTCCAAAACGGTCAAATGACTCAGGGCTTCGCTCACTCAGTATGCTACTCTGGGTCCATTCAGAGCACTATTCATGGGCGAGCTCCGCGCACTTCATCTGGAAGTGGATTTGGTGGTGTCAGGAGGCTTGATCTTCACAGAATGTCATGGTGATCCACACCTTGGAAAAAGAGTTAAGTACACAAGCTGGAACATGAAAGGTTGTCGCAACCTCACTCAGCTACACCATGCCACATTCGCAGCACCATCGATTGAGTACAGCTACATGTCTGCAACTCTAATTGATCCACCAATTCAACCTCGGCATTCGGCCACTGTACCTCTTGGGGTCATGAAAATTCTTATTAGTGTTCGAAAAGGTTCACTCTCTGGACCAAACCCACCCACTCCACATATCTCCAACCCCAATCCCTTCAGCGTGCCTCTGCGAGGCGCAGGCACCTTCCCTCCTCTGCGCTCTCCGCAGGCTTCAGCAACATGGCGCCTGCACCCTCGCCACGGATGTAGCCTCGGATGTAGCCGTGAGTCCCAAGTGTCCCACATGGGTTTCTTTGACGTCTCGAAATAAATAGAAATAACGTCCAAGACATGTTTTTCGAATAATATGTTCTCATTTATAGGATTCGGCTTCTCCCCCTTTAGCCTGGGCGGATCTGTGCATTCTGCCCTGCACCCTACCTCTCCACCCTCCTCTCGACCCAGACACCATCCGCTGTGGCGTCGAAGGTCTTGCAGCGCCCATCCGGCGAGAGCATCCCTGCAACGGAGCGCAGGACGAAGCTGCTCGGGCCATGCAGCACCTCGCGGCGGTGCGACGGCACAGGGCGGCATTCAGCGATGAGAGAAGCTAGGAAAAAACAGCACCCTGAAAGGTGCAGATATGTGGGAGAAACCAGGATTTCATGTCTTTGTGGCCAGACATCCATCGCACCTGGCGACCACTCCAGAAAAGCTCCAGCGAGGAATTCGAAACGTGAGTTTAGACTTAGATACTTCTTCCAAGACCCTCCAACAGGTGTGGTGCATATTGGATAATTAGTTCTTAGCATACAAGACACCTGCTGTAGAACAAACATTGCCAGCCATGAGCAATCGGAAAGGGGCCAACAAATCCCCCTTCGATTGCCCGCCCCAGCTCATGCGCACAGCGCTGAGCAGCACCTCCGCAGCGTTCAGCAAGGCACCGCGCGAGGCGGCGCTTGCAACATTCTTTCGTGCCTCACCGGAAGAGCTGGTCTGGATGGAGACAAACACACCAAAAAAGAGAGGAAGGAAGTTGAATTGTTTGATCAAGCACATCCCTCTATGGTCTAATTCAAACAGGCCACTAGAGAAAGGCCTGCCAGGTTGGGACTGAAAAGTGCGAAGGTTCGCTTGAATTGACCAAAAGAGTGAGTTCCTCAGAAGGAACTGTTTAAGACAAATGTCAAGTCATAATTACTAGGAAGCCCCAGATGTCTGGATGTTTTGAATTTGGACTTTGGGACACGTACTAATCCAGTAGAAAAGTCCAATCTGCACGTCCAACGCTTGCTTCAAGCAGTGCGCTCGACCCCTTACCCATCCCCCCTTCTCCCCCTTTTCTCGCGTCTGCGGCCTCCATGGAGCCTCAGACGAGTTGAGGGCTTGTCTTAAAACCACCGACAAGGTGGCCCCCAAATCAACACCCCTTGCGTAGCACGACCGCGAATACTTGACAGCTTGTCAGGGTCATGTATCTGCTCCTTCTGGATCCTCCTGGAAACCACCCTGGACATCTTGCAAAGGATGGAAATTGCAAAACATATCGTTTTGGAGGTATCCAATGTTTTGAGCCATGGCTGTATGGGTTTGTCCGAGGATGAGATATCCCCACGGCAATAGATTGTTAGATGGTCACCGTTTTTTAACCAGGCCAGCTGATCCCTTGAAGCCAAACAACCCCCCAGCGACATAAGTTATCTAATGGCCGGGCACCGACCACGTCCATCGCGAAAAGGGCATGGCTGCTGCTTGCCGGAGAGCACATTCATATGGCGGTCCAATTGCCAAGAAAAACCCTTGGGAACACCTGATCTGTCAAACAACACCAACTTCTGTTGTGCAGTTTCTTTGGCGGGTCCAAAATGTAACGGCCAATGTCCTTTGACACTGTAAGATTCGACCCTCTGACCGGTTCAAGGAATGTTCTCGGTCCAATTGGATTTGTCCAGTGTTGAACACGTCTGTCCGTTGAAGGGCGTCCTTCTCCAAGAGGCGGAGGGCTGCATGGAGCGCTGACAGGGATGAGGAACAGGCCGTATCGATCTGGGCACGTGACACGAGAGCATCACCAGCAGGGAGCAATCTGCATTGGCATTCCGATCCGATCTGGCTGAAGTACAATCTGAACGAAGGACCTAGACAACTCGATCATAGTTGCCCCTAGCGCGAGGAACGCACAAGCTGATCTTGCCACCCAAACTAAACCAAACACACCCAAACAACCCTGTTTGGCTGGTAGACTGACATCCCTGACAAGGAATGTTTCTCTTGCGCATTCTGTTCGGGAGGGTCCTAGAGTTTGGGCCCGGCGAAGTGAGATGCGGATCGGGTCCCAACTCGGCGCCCGGGCGGTCATACTGGGGCCCTTGAGGCCGAAAACATAGCCTTAGTAAAGGTGCTGTGTACAGCGACCCCCAATTGCATAAATAAGTGAACTCCTCGCACAATTGAAAGCGTCTTGGATGTTGCTATTTGGAGCCACTATAGCTACTTTGGGTTTGGCTTTGTTTCTTTTCTCAAGGTCTCCAATCCTCTAGGTGATGGGTGAAATGATATGCTCTAACATCTATAGCAATCCCTAGTTGAACATCTCCCTAGATGAATATCCAAGATCCTGCTTTCCTCCTCCTTCATATCACCAAGTTGTGACAACCTCCATGAACTCCACACAGTAGAAACGGCCGTCAAAGGGGATTATGTTGCTCAACATCAGCAAAGAAGCTTGGTGTAAAAAAAGTGATAGTATGTGTACGAATCTTTACGACACAACGGCAGAAGATGATGACAGCAACCCTGAGAAGACCTGCAAATCACGCCGCGCAGCTGATGCGGTTGGCGGCGATTGCACTGGAGACCCCGGGGCCCGTGTAGACGCCAGCGTCAGGCACCACCAGCTGGTACCAGTCCAGGTTGCTCAAAGCAGTGAAGACGCCCTTGGTGGGTTTTCAGATTATGGGGCACAGTCATACTCTTCAAGTTATTCTTACTGGGAGATTCCACGAGTCAGGTGTTGAAACATGTTGAAACGTACAAACGTAGATGCTTCAGGACTTTTGATCAATGTTGCAAAACATCCCTGTGGGGAGTCCTTTCCGTTCTTCAGTGAGTGGGTTGTGATTTTGCACTGTGGGCTGATGTTCGTCACTCGTCAGTGAGGCACCTGCATATCTCCGCCCTCATGTGCCCGCTTTCCACAACTTGGTGTCAGCACCATGTTGGTGCAACATGGAAACCCTATTTGCAACCACTCCAAGATAATTGGCAATCACCAAACAATTCGGTTTGATGTAAAGAATCTCATTTTGAAATGGTTGCTAGAATATATATCTAGAATGCTACCCATCAGCTTCGGCCCGACTTCATAGACGAGGTGCCAAAGGGTTGTTCTGCAGCAGTGCTTTGTCATACCCTGCGCCAAGTGGCTGTGGGTCACTTCATCCTGGTAAACATCCCAGGAATGAAGAAATGAGTCTATAGTCGCTGTTTGATCTACCATGGCCAGCAGGGTATTTTGCATCGATTTGTATAGGATGTATAGGCCCTTGGTCAGAGGTTGCACAATGCATCTAGACGTCACTTTGCAAACAAGAAAACGACTGGGTTTCGAGAGTGGGGATAGCTGGATGATTGAGCGCTAAAGAGGCCCCAGCCAATGCGTCATCCTGCCCAACAAGCAAGGAATCCTCATCTTCTTGAGGCGCTCCTTGTTTGAAGAGTACATTCTACAGTATAGTGGTGTCCACCACCTTAATTACAGTAAACAACTTTGGATAAACAGTTTTTGGGACCTAATCCCCCCAGTAGTGCAGCAAGGACCTTGAAAACCATTGGTTTGTAGAGAGCACTAAGCGGATACTAATCTTTAGGGATCGTTTTGGCTCCATTCTTTAGCGAGAGTGAGTAAACCTGTTAAGTCCCACCGCACAAACATCCCACTCCCCCCACCATTCCCCCCAATTCGCGCTGAGCAAAGCCCCGCCATCCCCATGCAGAGCATCATAGGCAGCGGTGAGCAGCATCCGCTGCTGCGGATCTGTGGTTTTGGCCTCGGTAGAAGTGGTGAGGATCATCACAATTGGTGGAATAAATCCTGCACCAATGGGTTTTGTCTATCATGGGTGGTGTCAGTGTCTCTTCCGTCAACAGTAGGCCTCAGCAGGCTCTTGAAATTCACCATCTGCTCACCATCTGCTCCCTGCACCAGCCTCGGCAGTGCCCAAGTTGAAGTAGCTCACGTCGAAGAGGTCGGTGCCCTGTCGACATCCAAACAATTTCAAGTGCGAACCTGGATTTGCCAGGACCTACAAGAATCCACAAGGCTTGAACAGACCTAGAATCTTGCAGCTGATCCAACCAAACCCGAAGAAAACTGCAGCTCATCCTAGAAGGTCCGGGCACTCGCGGCCTCCACGAAGCCGCCGTGCCGAGCATAGGTCTTGCCCTTCTGAGGCTCTTTAGAATAGTAAAGCTCATGATCCCAGCCTCGCTTCGTCGCTTCGAGGTTAGCAACTTCTGATGAGAGGAGCAACCATGGATGGTGTGCCAAACAGTGGGGGAGTCTGCCAAACCATGTCCATTGCCAGCATTCCATAAGTTTGTACAACTTGCTCAAGCATGTCGCAACGCTCCAAAATCAACTATCGTCCCTGCATGAACCAATACTGATAACCTCCACAATGAAGATATATCATCGGGATCTGCAAGAAATGTCAGACTCAGGAACAAGTGCCACGCTACTAGGAACAAGTGCCTTACTAGTAGTAATAAAAAGCTCTCACAGAAAGCTGAACCCAAGCGAGCCACGAGCCAAGGGCACTTCCACCACTGCATCGCGCTTCTCCGCCAGCAAGGACCAATAGCCTTTCAAGCCTTGGTTCGGAACGACCAATAGTAGCTGCTCCCTTGACTCGACGAATTTTAAGAGACTCTTTTTGAAACTTGCAGTAGTGAAAGTGAAAGGCCTGTCCAACAAAGTGCATACAATCTCTGATAAAGGGAAGCTGAAGGTTAATCACCTTCATCCACCTTCTTTCTTACGTTTCGGCTCAAGAACAGCCAGAAAAATAGGCTCATGAATCATGTTTGTGAAGCCAACTGGAGGAAACAGTTACCTATCATGTCATCCAAGCTGCTATCTGCACCACCAGGCAAGTGACAGGATGTTGAAACCATCACCTGAGCGAAAATGACTGACTACAACTGCCACCCACCTGTGGTCAGTCCGGGAAATCCCAACGTGAGGGTTTTGTCCTCCAATCAAGGGAGCTTGATGGATCTTCCAATTCCAGCCCTTGTGTCCACCTCTCACGCTGGTCGGGGGGAGTTTTGACAAAAAGTTGCACCCTAAAATCGCAGCCCAGGGGCGTGCTGTGCTGCCGGCGCAGGATGGGCCGCGCCCGTGATGGGAAGGTTGTCGCCCACGGGGGTCATCGGGCGCTTGGAGAGGAGAGCCAGGCCGTTATCCACCATGTCCTCAGAGCTCAGCAAGTACTAGTGACTGGAGGGGACCAGGCCACAACAGGGATTTGACTGGTGATGTCTACATCTTTTTGGCTGGAATCAAGGGAGAAATCCAGGGGTTGAGGTGATTTCAAACATGCGCCGTTTGTCCTCAACAGAGATTGGGAACAGGAGAGTACATCGGAAAAAAAGATCTGCAGAGTTTGGCGGGGAACCAAAGTCTCATGGAGCCCAACAGTTTTCAAAATCGAAGCACAGTACAGTAACTCATATTGTTCACTTTGCCAAACTCTGGAACAAAGAGGCAATCTACCCCTTCCATTCAAAGAAAACAAAGAAACAATAAGAAACACAACACGTAGGCTGTATTCAATGACACTATGGGACGAAAAACAGAACGCGGAGTCCTGTGCCAAGTGCTGGACATTTAAGGGGCCTCTACTTTTCACTCGCAGCGGGCTAGCAGGTTGGTTTAGATGGACTCAAATACTGTATATAACCCAAAAGGTTGTTCTAGATGAATGCATCTGTGCGTGTTCCATCAGGCGCCACAGTCAGATATTCAACCTGTTTTTGGTATCTAAGAATGGCTCTAACAAAAGATCATGATTCGTTGGTTCTTTCCGGGTGGCCAAGTGTACCCTGCGGCCGACGTGTCCCAATCTCCTCTCCTATTCCCTTCCATGGATGAGTGCTGTCTGAGGCGCATTGATGGTGGGATGATCGAAGAGCAGCGTGGGAGGAAGCTCAATTTTCAAGCGCCTCCCCAACAACTGCCCTGTTCACCCAACCGACCGAGGCAGTACGTGCCGTGTTCATTCTTTGAGGAATGGTCCAGGAATGGTTGGAATTTCGATGTTCCCCTGCACGTCCATCTCCGGTGACAAGAAAATGGTGACTTGTGCATTTGCTCCCTAACTCCGGCCCTTCCGGTGCTGCATTTTACAAGTCTTCAACAAGTGCTTGACATGACAGCCTAACTGTTGATTCCTAATTTCATAGCATTTCACAGCTTTTTGCCACTTCACCAGCCAAAAAATACTCCAAAGGGATGCATAATTAAGGTGCCTCTCAGAATCCCAAATTTTGCGGGTCGTTCATCGCAATGAACGATGGCCGCTGAACACAGATGTCAAACACTGGCAATGCGGCAATTCTGAAAAACCTAAAGTTAAGTGACAAGGAAATGCCCATGTCCGCCAGCAGCTCTTGCAGGCATTCAAGCCTGTACGTCCACAGGCAAACCCCAAATCCTGAACCACATGAGTGCTTCATCGTGCCACATACCCCCAGATAACCGAAATGAGCCGGCTACTACATACTTCGTTGCCAGCAGAACGCTGGTGCATCTTCAGTAACGGTTTCGCACAGAGGCGCTTCATTTACATCGACCCACCGTGACTCACCTCGCCCCCTTCCCACCTGGCGAGCTTGTTCCGCAACCGGAGGGCGCCAGCTGAGTCGAAACCCAAATCCATCAGGGGCCGGTCGGGCTTCACGTTGACCGCAGGCACCTGGCGTGGAACCGAGTGGGTGAGCGCACGAAATTCCACAATTATGAAGTGTCTGACAGATGTTGTCTCTAATCTAATCCAAAGCGAAACGATGTTGAAAGATACATGATATGATGTTCTAGTGCAGGACTGACTGTTCAATCTATTCTGGGGTCAAGTCATTCTACCTTCTACTCTGTGCCTTGGAGAAGACCAAGACAATCCACCAACTGAATCGTCTGACCGCTCTCCGGCCTGCAGGATGTCAGCGACGGCATCCTCGCAGCAACGGATGGCCCGTTAAACCCCTGCGAATCCTTGCAGGTTGGACATCATCAAGGATTATTCAATTTATTTGTACCATCATCCTTATGCACCTGCGTAACCCTTGCGGATGATTTTCGGAGGTCAGAGAGGACGATTCCCATTAGATCTACTGTAACCGTAACCCCTCCAAACTTTTGGCACTGTCTTTTGAGATGGCGGTTTTTGTACAGGACAGATTTCCATCACCTAATCCTCTCTAGACTCTAGTTTGGACCTCCACCATCCAATCTCCGACCAAACCCCTCATCCATGGCCGCCCGGCCTTCGCTAAATCCACCAGTGTGCTGCGGCGCCACAGCGGCTCCAGCCGCACCTCCACCGAGGAGTCACCTCCGCTGGTCTCATTCACCTGCGGGCAAACGAAGCCTAAAGTGGTGAGTTCGTCGCATGAAAGAAAAGGCGGGAAGGAACTTGGAGCTTTAGAGTAATTACCAAACAATCTTGAGAACCATGGGTCTTACACTGCCTGTCAGTCCTGTTGTCAGTGGCACCTGCTCCAAAGATTGGATCAGCGAAAGACCCTCAGACCGAAACTGAGCACTGAAGGTAGAGCTGATTCTCGACTTTTGAGACTTTTAAAATGAGCTTCACATCACCGAAGTGGCCAAAAGCCACCCGAACTTGCAGTGAACACAGAATGAGTGAGAGTGCTGCGGATGAAGCAACTCAGTGCGTAGAACTCCAACATACTCCAACTATTGGCTTGGAAAGTGTCCGACATTGGTGAGGTCAGGCTGTGCGGTTCTTGAACTTCATCCATTGGAACAGAAGTGAATGTTCCTGGGTGGGGTGTATCAGTTTATCAGATATCACTCCCCGGCTTGCCTGGAAGTAACCCACAAAATCGTGGCCTCACCCTTGGAAAACCCCCAAGCAAACAGCCTACGCAACCCAACGAAATCTACTCTTGAAGGACAGATGTTGCACCACCTAGGATGTACAAAACAAGCCAAAGTTGTGAACAGTAGTCTACATCTAATCTGGTGCAGGAGCTCTTCCATCTGAATCAACTGTAGCACCTAGTGTTGAAGGTAGAAAAATAATACACCACCTGCAATGTATACAACACCCTAAAATTTTACAGAACGGGTGTCCCTGAGAGTGCGGTTTTCCATTGATTTGCAGATGTTTTTTCCTGGAAATTTTGCACCAGATAGAGACAATGATTTGCAGATGTTTTTCTGTAACTTTTGCAACAGATAGAGACATTTCAGATAGGACCAGATGTTTTGAGTATTCAGAAATACCAAAAAATACAATTTTCCAGAGGTTTGGGAATTTGGTGGTTCCAAAAAACCTGGGGTTTCCAAAAAACAAAAAACAAAAACAAAAAAAATATGTCAAAACTCTTTCTGCAGAAGCCTCAAGTGCAAAGACCTCTGGAAAATTGTTTTTTTTTGTTTTTTGTTTTTTTTGGTTTTTTGGAAACCCCAGGTTTTTTGGAACCACCAAATTCCCAAACCTCTGGAAATTTTGCACCAGATAGAGACATTTCAGATATGACCAGATGCTTTGAGTATTCATAAATACAAAAGACTACAAATTTCCAGAATGAAAACGCAGATGAAGAGATGCAAAATAATTTAGTAATAGGATATTTAAAAAACAAGATTGAAGAACACAAAAAACAGGATAAAGTGGCTGATAGAGAAATAGATGAAGACAACTATATCAATGAACATTGATGTTTGAATCATTTCCATGGCTGTTGTGCCCACTGTGGAATAATATATTATATTGAAATGAAGCAAGGCAAATTATCAAAAAACTTCACAGCACAAAGACTAGACAATACACTGTGCCATTCTGTGGATAATTGCACTCCATACTGTAAGTATTGTAATTGTAGTGCTCACTGATTATTTTTGAAAATATGGAAGTAAAGCAACAACTTTAAGAGATGCAAAAAAAGATTCTGAAATAAAACTGTTTGATGTTGAATATTCTTTTTTAGAAAAAATGTTGAGATAAAGAAAAAACACAGAGGTCAGAACAGTTTTGTAGCACCTCATAATAATCATACCTACCAACTTGACATATTGTTTTTTTTTATTTTTTTTTTAACCTGATGACATTGAAGCAACACAACAATTTAGAGCGGGTTTAGTAATGATAGATGTTCTGAGTAAATATGCTGTGGTAGTGCCAATAAAGAGTAAAACCCCACCTGACATAATTGCTGGAACTATGGAAGGCTTAACCCCACCTGCCATAATTGCTGGAACTATGGAAGGCTTACACAAAATGGGAAAGAAGTGCAAACTTTTGTATACTGATGATGAAAGAGGTATAGCAAGTGCTGATGGTGAAGGCATTGAGGGCAAGAGGACATCCTGTCTTCGCTGAAAGATTTTTAGGATATTTAAGGATAAACCATTCAAAAGAGTTGAAAATGATGAGAAGAAGGGAAAGCAGAATATACAATGGACTGACTACATATTAGAAATAATTCTGACTTATAATAAAGATGTGCATAGTGCAACAGGACTAACACCAAATGAAGCAAGGAAAGAGAAGAATGAGTTTAAAGCAAAATTGAATGTATCAGTGAAAGCAAGTAAAGAAAATATGTATCCAACACTAGAGGTGGGAGACAGGGTAAAAATAATGAGGAAGAAAGCAATTACAGAGAAAGAGTGAACAAATCATTTTTTACAAGGTGAATATACAGTAGAAAACATTGCAACAAAATTAGGAAAACAGTATCAAACATTAGAATGATTTAATCGTCCATTATTAAGGCACAAATTGTTAAAAAGAATATAGTTTATTTAACAAACATACATTTTAAAGGAAATCTATTTGAAAAACTATTATGTTATAACACTACTAAAAATCATAAAACAGCGCACTCTGACAAACACCCGGACTCAAATTTTAAGAGTCTGGTGCAGCTCTTCCTTCAAATCATAGGATTTGACAAATCGAAGAGCCAGACCAAATGATTTCCCACTGTCGCAACTGAAGTCCAGCCGACCGCTGGCTCAGGAAGTTCCCAGGCTCCGTAGGCTTCACACCGTGCCTTGTACTTCACGAAGACTCCCCCGCCATCATCGGCGCTGCCCGAGCTGTCCGGGAGGGGAACCGGACCCTCCTGAAGGTCAAAGGGAGATGACGGCAGGAAAGCCATCAACAATGCATCAAACATGTGACGCCTCTGAAGAAAGGATACACTGTATCTGGTCCATTCTTGGCTTTCTGGATTTGATATCTTGATATTCTCTGCAAGTAACTGTTCTGATTCCTGGATTGCATCCCCTCTTCAGATGTCTTAGTTGAATTTGAATAATTTGGTTTCATGGTCGCATTTATTGCGAGCTGTGTTTTGTCTTGTAGCCTGCTCCTCTACTCATTGTCCTTCTGTTTTCCTTGCAGTACTGCAATGTTTTGACTTGTGGATCCTCGTGGTTTCTTGCCACACCTTGTTCAGCAGGATTTGAACAAACCCAAAGGGCTTTTGCCCGAGCTTCCAAGCATCCAAACAATTCCAAACAAGTTGAGCCATACAAACCGGTGCATGTTGAGCTGCATGTCCATCCCCCACGCCACGCCCGATGTTGGGATAAACGTCCTTGGACTCTTCTATGAGCTTTTGGGCATCGGCAATGGAAGCCTCAGAAGCAAAAAAGCGATCTTGAGCATTTTTGCGTTGGGAAGTGAAATCATGTATATATGCTTCCGAGTATATAAATCCAAAGGACATACAGTGCTTCCCGAGTCCATGGCACAGATCTCAAGGTTTGGGTGATTTACATACAGTGTCTTGAATCTTGATCATTAATACTGGTCTGTATCAGCCCCAGCCCGAAATCAATTGAACTGTGCGTGTGCCATCTACTCAGATCACTTACTGCTTGGCTCAGAATGTGTTGCCCAACTTGAAGATTCCTCAATAGTGACTTGGTGATGGGCCCAATGGGCAGGACAACGGTGCCCCAAAGTGACCCTAGCGAGCCAATCAGTAGACCACGCTGCACCTTTTGATCCCTCGAGTCTTGGATAGAAGAAAGAAAACCTGAGAGTCAAACGGTGCATCCTCCACACACAACATCATGAAGTACGAAGGCCTGCTGTTCAATAACTTTCAGTATATAGCGATACCATCTCTGTGTCTCTCTCTCTCTCTCTCTCCAGATTGAAGGACCCAACCAAACAGAATACCAAATAACTATTTAACTATTCATGATGTCCCAGAAATCACCTTGTTGCTTTCTCAAAACTTGACTCATTGTTCTATGATTTTGTATAACAATACTATATACTTCCAGTTATCAGTTATCGTCTGATAACTGCACAGTCTGCGGGGCTGCCCTGATGGATCTCATTCGCCCAGCCGCCGAGCGCAAGATCGCCGGCTGGTGCGCGGCGCCCTGGCGGCGGCTCTGCTCCGCCTGTGCGCCCTGCACTGGTGAAGCTAAACGAGAGCATCGGCCATTTGAAGGTCTGCTCACCTGTAGTTTGAGACCGGAATCGAAAAAGAATTGCACCCTCCTCATTGTCCTCGTGCAGCCCAGCAATGTCCATGTTATTGGAGGTTCTAGGTCGATGTTAGAAGGTGCATCCTAAAGCCGGGGGTCTTGCAAGCAAAATGCACGTGTCCCAAGAGTTCGAAGCAATCAACTGAACCCACATTGCATCTATTGCATCTACACTGGTGATCGGTTCCTTAACTCCTCAACTGGCTGGATGGGTTTCCAAAATGATTTCCACAACTACAGTACTGGTCCTTTTAAGCAGCTCACATTCGAGTGGCTGAAACTTTGGGATCCAGGTCAGCGTACCCTGATACTGATGAATAAGGGAGTAGCCATCCATGGGCTAGAACATGTTCACCTCCATGATCGGTTGAATGATTGCCTCAACACCCAAAACTCACATTGTCAGTTTTGGAGTTCTTCCTCAAAGTTACTCGGTGACAGATCTTCGAACAAACCAAGGTGGATCAATACCGAAAAAAAGATTGTGTTGTAGTCTGTTCATTTTGTGGGCTGAGCCATCACTCAGTTCTGACTCACACCTATGACTTATGACCCATTGGTAAATCTTGGCATTAAAGATCTCCAGGAGTACTCTGGGCCTGGCGTGCACTGCTGCGGCCCTCCTGAGCCTGGCTGGAACGAAGACCGGATTTGAGCCCCTGCAAGTGCCCGCCAGTGCTCATGGTTTTTTCACAACTGCGAGGGAGACCCACAAAAAGATTTGCTGATAGAGAAACAAAGAGGCGAGAGTTTTGCAGGATGTCATTCTGTGAAAGGTTGAATGCATTCCATCCCCATCGTGTCTGGGCTGCTTTTGTGCCAAAAATCTCCTCCCATGAGGGAAGAAGGTTCCCATTGACTTCTTGACACTACAAATGGAGACCCACTACCCACCAGCATCTCCGACCTCCTCTTCCTCCGAGGAGTCTGCGCCCGTGAAGGTCACGGTCTGTGGGGCCCATAAGTTTTGGAGCCGAAGCAAGGTCCTCAGCGGAGGAATCAGGTCATCCGTTCATTATCCTTAGTGGCCTGATACTTGCAGCAACTCACATGGGACCTTTGGGGGCCTTACTGGATCTACTCTAGGGCCCAAATCCAGAGATCTGCAAAAGGCTTGGCATCCAAAAGCTCGGTAAAAGAGAAACTTATATATGTTAAACATATTGGTAGCCCTCTTGGTGGTCTTCCGAACATAAAATTCATGCATGCACTTTGTCATGGGTTTGCTGAGTTGATTGGATTGTTGTCCATCCCCGATCGACCGCAAGTGTGCGACAGAGCGAGGATCCACCTTCTAGGCGGAAATGAAGTCCAGTTCTGATGATACTGTTTGCCATCGAGAGGGAGGGGTTCTCTGATCAAACAGGTGCGAATTCTCCTAGGGCAAATCCAGACAGGTTTTCCAGTCTCAACACCAGTCTGGTTGGTGCCCGAGCAAGAATTCTGCAAACGAGTGCCAAAAAACTGGAATCTGGCAGCCATCAGTGATCCCTCCCTCCCCACAGACCTATCGCCAAGCCACAGGTTGATATGTAAAGCCAATACTGACCTGCGATAGACAGGGCGGTCACTGGTTTTGCAAGTCTCCACGTACTGACCCTCTTGGCCATGTGGGTTTGTTGAATCTGGGAATACGACCAAAGGCCTTTCTTCAAACCGTGGAAGTGAGGGGTGAACCAACAAGTACAGCTTTAGACAACCTCAATCACCTCAACTGCAACTGAAAGTATTCCGCAAGCCATCGCGGCCTGAAGCATCCGGCAATGATCCAGCCGAGGAAGAGCTCCTCGCCCCACAGCAAGGTGACCTTGGTAAATCGATGCTCCAGGCCAGATCCATGTGAGCATTCACCCGGTCCAATTGCGCGAAGCCTCATGGAATCTCGTTTCAAAGCCTGGAATCATGGGAGGAGAAAGAAACTCCCTCTACCCTATCAAGCAGTGGTCCTTGAACCTTCTGAAAATAGCACGAGATAGAGGAATCACAGCCAGGACTCGGTGGCTGGAGGCTGCCAAAAAACCTCCTCTCAACCAGAATTTTAAAAACATCTTGGCTACTTCTTTTGCTCCAATCAAAACATCGTCTGCACAAGTCCAGCAAAAACAAAGCCAAGGAGCGAAAGCAGGGATGGCGTGACCCAGGGAGAGGTTCCACCAGGAATCAACATCTGCTTGGAACATGACCACCTGCCGAGTCAGCATCAAAAAGCAGTCCGTCTACTAGTTGGTTGATGACTTCAAACATGTAGACACCGCATTACCCAGGCAGTTTGAAGCCGGAGGGCGCTATATAATCCCTGCTGCATTAAAGCAAAATGTCCGGCAGGCAGACAAACAGGTCATACAAGTCATACGACTGTAGGCCGCACTTCCCAATAAGTCCTCTTCATAAACAGGCGCGCAGGTTTCCTTGGGATTCTGCAGTTGGTACGCACTGGTGGCTTCAACACAACAGAAATGCCAACTGTCAACAACCAATGTTGTATGTGAACACTTCAACGTGCAGAACGACCAATGCACCACTTCCGATGCCGACTGAACAGCACGAATCCGGTTGGGCGAACACGATCGCCTCTTTTCACTCCATGGCGGCAGCCTGCGGTGGTCAAGGGGCCCCTACGAGTTGGGCCGAAGAAGCATGAGGGAGTCGAGACATGAACTCACGATCGAGGTCGTCGTTCGAGGTTTCGAGAACTGCATCAGCTAAACTTTCTTTTGAGTTCATGACTCTCTCCTCAAGCATCTTGGACGGTGTTGTCCGAGTGGCCTGCTTCAAGCGCTTGGCGGACACCACAAAAGCTGGATCGTACTTCAGCTGCCAAGTACGGTGCTTCAAGTAGAACATCAAGCTCTGCCGACAGTCGCCCTTCTTTTTCGTAAGGGCGTCACTGAGGTTCCAGTCGGACGCCAACCATATCAACCGAGTCTGGCAGAACTTGATTGCCTGTTTCAATTGATAGGCTTGTATGGCAGCTCGCATGTTCGACAAACCCAGCAGCGGTGACTCGTTGACCATGACCGAGTCGAAACCCCCTTTCGAGTCGGTCCCGAGGACACCGGGAACCAAGCGAACTTGAGCATCGGAGTTGCTCAGCAGATCTCGGCTGGTGAACAGGCTTCCGGTGCCGTGCATGCCAGCCCAAAGCAACCTGGTCCGGTAGACCACATCCTCGGTCTCAACGATCGCCTGCATTTCAGCATCATTTGTGCCGATAGCCACTCGCTTGAGCTTCCAGCTCCGCCATGCCACCAAAGACATTGGAGCTGGGACGCCTTTCAAAGCGTCGGGACTGGCCAAAAAGATGGCCATTCCACCAGTAGACCCTCCACGGGGCCTATTGTTGTGGGCCTGGTCTCCCAGACCAACCACGCAAAGGTCAGTCCAGTGGCGAACTCCGGGCAGCTTGAAGAACTTCAACAGGGAGCTCTCCTTCCGTAGCTCACGGATCATCTCCTGGAGTTCTTGTGCAATCTGGATCTTGGGATCCGTTGACAGCTCTGTGATCAACAAGTTGCACCGAGCGTTGATCAATGGCTGGGATTGCACTGCAAGCCACTGCAATGCACCAAGCGAAGCCCGACACGCGGCAATCTCCTTGGAAGTCATGGTGGCACTACCATTGCAAAACCTGGTAGGGTGTACATCAACATCTTGCAATGTCTCAATGTAAAACTGTTGGTCCACCACAAGACATTTTCCAAACCTTGCATCTCGCTGCATTGTCAAGTCGGTGCCTGCATGGCGATAGCTGTTTTGCTTTGCTGTGCCCCAACGGTACTGCTTGTCGATTGCAGCTTTGATGGAGGTCCAACGACTGTCATTGACATCGCCTGCGCGATGAAAATCATCAACATGGCCAGCCATGAAGCCGAGTGGACGGAGTTTGTAATGCTCAGGATCTGTTTTGGGATTGTATTGCTCATTGTCAACAAACCAAATCCAGAAACATGAGTCACCCTGAATGTTCACTGCGCCAAGCTGTCGAAGGCTCTGGTCGACATTCTCCCACAAGTTGCGAGGTGCTGTGGTGCTACCATAAAAATTCTTCAAAATGCGCATCACACCATGTTCAGGGATCTTCAAAGCATCTCTGAGCTCCTGCACTCCGGTTGTCCACAATCGCTTTGACTCCTCGGTGGGAAGAGTCTGCAAAAAGGCAGTGCTCATGTCAATGCCTTCAATGTCCCAACCTTGCTCCATCACCAGCTGGTACGACAAGTTGCGAGTGAGCAAAGCTTGCACTGGTGATGACGTTCGATGGCTCTCTGAAAGGAGGTCAGGGTGTTCAAATCCCAAAAGCACGATGCGTGCCTTGGCCTTCTTCTTGCCGTCGGACGTGAGGGTGGTGACATCAGGCTTTGAAGCAACTTCATTCAAGGCCTCCTGCATGTCCTCCTCCGGGGTTGGCTTCCAAGTCAAGACCCAGCGGCATCTCATGATGCGGCCGCTGTCCCAAGCTTCTTGTTCTTCCAGCTGGTCCAAGCACCTGCGAACTGCAGCATTGCTGAGGAAGCTGTTGACTTCCTTTGTCTTTGCTCTGCGAAAGAGTTCACGGTGAGCTGGAGAGAGCTTTTCAAGACGGACTTCACAATCACGAAGCTTCTGGGCCAGGTAGAGTGAAGGATGCTTGACAAATCTTTCCTTCTCTCTTTGAGACTTGAAGTCCAGGTCCACATGAAGCAACCAGCCTTCCTCAGTGTCGTCCAGGGCGGTGAACAACATAAGCTCCTCATTGACACGGGCCTTCTTGGCATCAGGTTCAGGAGCAGGAGCACTTGCCTTGGAGCTGTCAGAGGACAGAGAGATCAGCGGGCGATGTTCTGTATGACTGGAAGTACCAGTCACCTCCGCTTGATCATCCGCTGGGATGAAGGTAGGTTGTTCATCATATTCGTTGAGAGGTGGTTCAGACGGAGTGTACTCCTCAGAAGCAACAACAGGTACTGCAGCAGGAAGAGGATGTAGTGGTTCCCAAGGGCTCTTGCGACGATGCCTTTTCTCAGGAGGGCGAAGTGCTTGCTGAGTCGTTGAATCTGGCTCATCAGGTAATGGAGGTAGTTCCACATCTTCTTCAGTGGGTTCTTCTGGCAGGAGGTCGATGTACGATCTCTTGGGCACCATGTCGGCAAGGGAACGCCAGTTTGAGGGATCTTCTGGGTTGCCGATCTCATAGTCCAGGCGTTCTCTTTCGGTCACCTTGCGGACTGAATGGACGGAACATCGATGCATAGCTCCGGCCACGATGACCCACACGATGTGTCTTCTTTCTTCTTCAGGTCTCTGTCCATGAATGACCTCATGGAAGACCACTCTGCCAGGTCCAAGCCATTGTCGATGGCCCAATTTGCGAAGGCCACCTCGGGCGCCACCGTCAGTAGAGTAGCGACGCCAAATCTTCACCAAGTCCATGGGCCGGAAGACCTGGAGTGGTTGCCTGACTTTGGAGTTTCTGAGCTTGCCCAAGACCAACTGGGATCTCGCCTTTCTCGCAATCTCTTCTGCTTGCTGACGATTGGCCAAGAGGGAAATGAAGTCCTGGCCAGGAACATCAGGTAGGATCTGTTGAATAGATCGCTCATCCTCGTCGGAGAAGCTGAACTGCTTTCCGTAGACCCACTGGTGTGGCGTGTAGCCTTGCACGACCTCAGTGGCATTGAGCGACTGGATGGAAAGGGCCAAAATGGCATTGGCTGAGAGCGATGGAAAGGACAAGGTGGTCTTGGAGGCGACGGTCTTTACTTCTTGAACGGCTCTTTCCATCAAGCCATGACTCCAGCTTTCCTTTGCTGGTGGAACTTCGATCTGGATGTTGAGGTCGGAGAGAGTCGTTCGAGCCTGTGCACTGACCATTGACTTGGCATTGTCAGGTACCAAGATGGTCATCTTGGGCTTTGAGGAAAGCCACAAATCAAAGATGCCCTCGAGGATCTCAGTGGTGTTCTCATTCTCCTGCTTGTAGAGATCCATAGTTCGAAGGATCTTGGCGGCCTTGTAGTGTGTGGCAAAGTCCATGAGGACCAAGATCTTGTGTTTGACCTTGCTGTTTGGTGGGGTCCATTCAGTGGTGTCAAGACCCACCATCTCCCAGGCCTTTCAATGGCCTCAAGGAAGCCGGCGGAATCTTTCCGCTGGAGGTGCCACCCATCTTCAAAGCCTTGCAGTCATCACATGGTAGCTGGAGAGCAGCTTCGACTTTCCATCGAGGTTGACCAGCTTCCCGGATGATGCGGGCCAAGTTGTAATTGTTCGCATGTCCAGCTGCCTTGTGGTACTTGAGCAACTGGATGTTCCATTGTTTTCGGAGTTCTTCATTGGGCTCATCATCATCAAGTTCTTGAGGCATGGCTTCGAGCTGTAGGGTGTTGAGCTGTTCCGTCTCCGTCAGGTGCATAGCAACTGGTGAGTGAAGGCGATCCAGCCACCTTGTCGGATAAAGCTCTGCCCGCCAATGTTGTGCGATGGACTTGCACATCTTCCAGGGATAGAAGGCTGATCTGGAAGTTTCAACTCCTTGGATGTGGTCGTGCTCATGAGAGCCAGTGCAAGTCTTGGCACGGTAGATGGTGAAGAAGTGCCGCGAAGTTGTGGCAATGGTCCACTGTTTCCGAAGAGGTAGTCCTTGAGAGGAAAGAAGTCCATAGCGACACCCATCAATGCGAGCGAAGAGCCATTCCTTGTTGGCATTGATCATCTCAGTGCCAAGTCGTTGAACCATGGGTTCATTCCAGCCATAGCATCTTGTAGGCCATTCCCAGAAGACCTCAACATTGGGATCATAGGCCACAGCGGCTGCAAGGAAGGGCACCAAACGACGGAACATTGCTCTTTCTTTCCGACGGTACTTCTCGAGGGTCTTCTTGTCCTCGACGGTCTGGTAGTTGAGCGATGTGAAAGGACACCAGTAAGTGCATCTGGCGGAGATCCAAATGCGGCGTGGCCTTTCTCGCAAGAACTTATCCCAAAGTTCATCATAGGTGCTGGCACGGTACATGTCAAAGTTCTGGTGCAGGTTGATTCGTGAAGCAGTCAGTCCTTCCGAGTGGCATGCTGACGTCAACCAGGACTCGGGAGCACAGAAGATCTCCCAAACATCGACATGATGTGGACCACGAAGCAAAATGCTCAGGTCATTCTGGGCCGTCAGGAGGAGCATGCTGCATAGAGCCATCACGGCTTGGCAGATCCTCCAAGGAAGCACAGGGAGTCCAAAGGAACGGGACGGTGCTGAAGAAAGCTTTTCTTCCATCTCCTGCGCTGGAGAAACATGCTGTTGACCATGGAGTGATGTGGTCTTTGGAGAAAAGGATGATGAATTCTTGTCCTGGCGAGCGGCTCGACGTGAGCTGCCCTTCTTGAAGGACTTGCAAAACTTGCTGTCGGCAATCTTGAGGAGCTCAAAGTCCACAGTCTCACAAGTATATGCTCAGGGTCGGAGGTCTCCTGAGATGTCAAAGCTGTGGCATCAAATTCATGGACTTCAGCGGAAGTGGCAGAGAACTGAACCTTCTTTGTATCCAACTCAATCTGCAACTCCGGAACTGAAGTGCCAAGTGACTCATCTAGCTCAGGTGGATCACCGGGCTTGTCGCCTTCGGAGTGACGACAACCACCACATCGTCGTCCGTTGGCGAGGTCGGGCTGAAGGGAATCATCTCGGCCGAGCTCTGGCCTAGCTGCCTCTGCGATGCCAAGTTCTTGACATGCTGAATCTCCTCCGGAGTGAGGTGGGCCAGGAGGTTCTCCGCCTCGGAGGCCTTGGCTGTCTTCTTTGATCCGGTGTAGAGCAATTGGAGGCTGCTCAACATGGCCTGAGTCTCGATCTCCAGGGCGGACACCTTTGCCTTCATGGCACGGACCTTGTCCAATGCCTCCGTGTACTCGTAGGTCTTCTCCACCATCTCGTAGGTGGGCTTGGTGCCCTTGGGGATCTCGGCCTGAATCATCTCCAGAGCCTTCTGCACAAAGGTGTGATCCTTGCGCACGACCGAGCTCGCTGGTGATCCCTGGCGGGGAATGTACTCGATCCTGAGAGCACACACTGCGCACTTTGCCCATGAGCCATGAGCGTTGCTTCCAGTCACTGAGGGCTCGTGCTTGCCGTGACACGGCCAACATGATGGCTGAGCTCGAGGATCCTTGAGGTCGTGACCCTGACGGCGCTCGGGGTCCAGAGGTGTGGACGTCTTGTACCCCTTGGAGGACTTGGCCATCAGAAGTCACTGAAGTCGAAAAACCCGGTGGCCTGGATGATAGGCCAGAGGCTGCGGTAGGAGATGACAACTGCTTCCGGCGGTTGAACAGCATCTCAAAACCGACACTCATGGAAGGCATGGTGCAAACAACATCCTGAGAAGCTGAAACATGAAGTGCTGCATGATGTTCATCAAGAGTGCTTGCAACTAAATCCTCATGAACTGCGAGCTCAAGCCATTCATCACTGGGTCCTCCAACCTCGAGTTGCATCGTCGCAGAGTAGGCGGCATGAGCCTGGGCATTGGAGGACGATGAACCGATCAGGTACTGGCCAATGTCAACCATGAAGTGACCCTTGGAGTTCTTTGGCATGGTGAAGGGCTCCGACTGGTTGTGGGCACCAAACACTGCACAGCCATCTTTGAAATCCAGGATCAAAACAACCTTGGAGAGGAAGTCCATACCGACAAGGATGGGGGCCAACATGTGCTCTTTGAAAGACTTCTGGTAGTACTCGGTAGGGTTCGGCAGGGCAAACACTTCAAAGAACTTGGAGGGATCCTTGGAGGTCTGGATGGTGGTGAGGTACATAGCTTGTCCCCAACGGCCGGAACCATAGCGAAAGAACGGGCGACGCTCAAGGTCAATGGTGACCATCAACTGTTCATCCAGCTCACGGAGGCGGGCAATCAGCTTTTTGACAGAGGCTTCAGGTCCTGCGGAGGCAGTTGCACCGCAGTCAAGCATTCCAAAGCCATCAGGAATCGTTCTGCTGACGATGGCCTCATTGGCAAAAAGCTCAAGAGGAAAAAGATCATCGGGCTCCACAAGTTCTAGTGGCTGCAGCTCCAACATTCCAAAGTCCATGCCAAAGTCCATGCCGTAGACATTGACTGTTGATCGAAGCTTGCCACCTTTTCCAAGCCCTTTTGGTTTCCCCTTTTGATTGTACATAGCTTCCCAAGCCATGTAGGGGTCATCCCAAGAACTCATCATGTTGTCCTTCCCTTTTCGCACACCTCTCCCCTTTCCCTTGAAGAGGTAGGCATCTAGTTCTGCCGGAGTGAGCTGTTTTCCACCACCTTTACGGTATTGGGGATGTTGACGATCGGGGCAATCTCGAGCAAGGTGAGGGCCAGAACAAATGAAACAACCCCCGGAACCCTTTCCACCCTTGGATGAACCAGCATGTTGACCAAAACCACGGTCTCGCCTCAAGGCAGCAATGGCCTGTTGAGCTTGTGTCCATGTGCGACGGGCATCCAAAGCTAAGGCCTCAGCAGCTTTCTCGGCCTCCATGGCCTCTTGAAGGTCGGGGTCCTCCTCAGCAGTGGTTGCAGTGTTCTCCACTGGCTCAACTGAGGAAGAGAGCCAAGCACCAAACTGGTCCATAGATTGCCAATCCGACTCATGCCAGTCATCTGGCTCCCACTGGGCTTCATGCCACGCTGCATTGTACCAAGGATCAACTGTTTCAACCCAATGTTGCTGCATGACTGAACCCTTTGCATGTCCATGATGTTGATTGAGCTGTTCGTCCCATAGAGTCTGGAGCGCTTCAGCGATGGCGGGGTAGTCCAATTTGTTACCCGTGCTAGCCAAGATGTCTCTCCATTCATCATTTGTCAGGCTGGCGGCAACAAGCAATCTCCATCCACGTAAAACGTCCCAAAAAAAGAATCCATAGGACCCAAACCATCAACTAACTTCTGTTGCTCTGTCTTGCGTGAGGGGCTCTTCATTGATTGCCGAGTCCGGTTCGGCGATCCCGCCGGTGAATGAGGTGTAGGTGCACGATCATCACCTGCTTCCGAGGTCTGAGGAACTGCCGCATAGCCTTCGGGGGCCTCAACTGGTGGCGAACCATCATCAGGCTCCTCAAATGGAGTCTCTTCCCAATGCCTCCAGCGTTGGTCACGACGCCATGGATTGTAGTCACCACGTTCAGAGGTCTCAGAAGGCGTGATCTCAGGCAGCTCAAACAAACGGTCGGCAGGCGAGACACCATCCTTCTCCTCCTTGAGTTGGAGAAGGGCCTCCTGGAATTCCTCAAATCCCAACGTTTCCCTCACAAGGAACTGAGCAATGCTTTCACCAGGCCTGCGCTGGAACATGAAATAGGCCGACATGGTAGCAGCTGCATTGGGCAGGCTACGGCGCACAAGGGGAGAAGCAGCAAGTCTCCTCAACATCACTTGAACTCCTTCTTCTCCTTCGAAGTCTCGTTGATGCCAGGACATAGACAACAAACGAGCTGCACCTGTAAGCTTGCTAATGAGCTTGGCTGCAACATACTTGCGCTGCGACCCTTTCGTGCCAGACAGAAACCAGCCAACTTCCTTCACATACCGACGCCAGGTCTTTGAGCTGCCATCCCAACTCGGCTCGGCACCTCATTGCGATCCTTGGCCTCGGACATGTCCCTGGAGCAAACACCGCTCCGCTACCAGTGCAGTTGGTACGCACTGGTAGCTTCAACACAACAGAAATGCCAACTGTCAACAACCAATGTTGTATGTGAACACTTCAACGTGCAGAACGACCAATGCACCACTTCCGATGCTGACTGAACAGCACGAATCCGGTTGGGCGAACACGATCGCCTCTTTTCACTCCATGGCGGCAGCCTGCGGTGGTCAAGGGGCCCCTACGAATTGGGCCGAAGAAGCATGAGGGAGTCGAGACATGAACTCACGATCGAGGTCGTCGTTCGAGGTTTCGAGAACTGCAGATTCCTTTTTCTTCAAAGCGACCTTTTTGAGTCCTCTTAGTCTAAGACCTTTAACTTAAACTTCTGCATGCCAATCAGTGACCGAACCAACCAGGCTATCCAGGTGACAAAGACCAGGTGAACCTCACCCATGAGGAAAACCCACGACTGCTTGGCCCTCAGCTCCATGGAGCGCCGCTCCGCCTGATCTGAAAGGAGATCCGAGACATCCACCGAGCGTGTGGCCTCAGCATGCGGTCGGTCGAGCGAGAGGCGATGTGGCTCTTGGGATCCAGGTGTGTCCTCCTTCTTCAGCTCCAAAAAGGTGCACGCTGGTCATGTCCCAGGCATTGGATGCTGTCTCCATCAGTGTGGGGCAACATTTCAGGGGGGCTATAGGAATGAGTTTGGCAAATAGGGTGTTCCTTGGCTAAGCAGTTGAGCCAGTGCTTTCATGCATGGTTCCACCGCTCGGTCGCTGCCTCGATCATCTTGGGCGTCTTGTGCATCAAGAACCAGCCAATGTATCGATAAAGAAAGCCACGATTGGGGTCATAGGGATCGGCATCTGTACCTGCGACAGCTTCTGGCGAACCCCACCCAACATAAATATTGTTGGAGGTCAATAGCCGTCCAATATCTGTTTGGGTCATCAACAGTATGTGACTCTGTGAGCTGGCTGGTGGGCCTGGTCAAAGCTAAAGAAAAGCATAGGAAGGAGCAGTTCAAACCTCCAAAGATTTAGCTGGACTCAGGACTCAAAGGATAGTGCTTCCTGGAATGCCCAGCTTTTGTGGCAACTTCTGGTTCAGCGCCCATGGTCACTTGACTGTAAGAGTTTGGTCGGTATGTCACATATCACATGCTTGAGGCACTTTTCACAGCCCTTGAAAGTACACAGAGATCATGCTTTTCAAATGTCCATAGAAATCTCTCCGGCCTTTGTTTTTCAAATGACATCGTTGATCGCGGCTCCAGCGAAAGATCGACCCCTGGCCATCAGGTCCAGCTCCAAGGGGCGACCGGCACCGGTCGTGCCAGGGGGTTCACTGAATCCTTTTGGGTCGTTCCGTCCGGCTAGCAATTTAAGTAGCTCCTAGTAGCGTCCTTGCTCCTAGTAGTAAGGCCAGGAGCTACTAGTAGCTTCTTGCTCTTAGTAGCGATGCCCTTGCTCCTAGTAGCATCCGGCTCGTATGGATGATGAATTCTAGACCCCTCAAACGCTGACAGGATGACTGTGTGGGAGTGAGCCATGAAGGGGGAAGAACTGGACCACCCCTTCCCCTCTTTGGGTGCCTCCATCCAAGAATAGACCCAAATAGAATGAAACCAGCTATCTTCTGGGATTTCTCATGACATCTAGAATGTTGAAACTCAACTAGCATGTTGAACTTCCCGCTTTTGAAAATAAGAAAAGTGACCCCACATGAAAAGACCTCAAATACTATGTTTGGCGCACATACACTTAGTATGGCGGTTGGACCTGAAACCCATTAAACACACCTCCTAAAAGGTGCACCCCAAGAAAGGAGCTATGCCCGAACTTGCGCACTCCGACCCCACCTGATTCGCAATGGATTGGCAAATCATCAAGAAGACCTCCACCGTCCACGGAGCCCGGTTCGGAGAGGTGACCAGGGGTAGGTCTCCGTAGGATGCTTAGTAACAAGTGCATCGCTACTAGCAGCAAGAAGAGAAGCAGTAGTAACAGGGGCACTACTATTAGTAGCAAGGACGCTACTAGTAGCGATGCACTTGTTGCTAGTAGCAAGGATATGGCACATTTAATATGTTTCCTCATGCAAAGGACTCTAGCGCCTGATGAGGGGCTGTGTCTTTTGGCGCCACAGAGTGGCACCTGGATCCACTGGGTGAAGATTGTCAAAATATTGCGCCTGGTCGTAATTAACCCCGAGCACTTTGCGCACAGGCAAGAGTTCATCCCCGCTAGAACTTGCTGATAGCTGCTTTGTAGGGCTAACCGATACAGGTAAAGAGGTAAAGGTTTTCTTGGCTACCAGATCTCCAAAGCAGGTCTCACAAAACTCCGTCCTGGACCCTCTCAATGCTTCTCACCTCTTGAAAACACAAAATAACAAACTGAGCCCAAATGAAATGCACCTATTTCATGTTCGATCCAAGGAGGGATCTCCTCCTTCCAACCACCCTGCAATTCCTCGCATGCTTTGACCACGTGAAGCACCCACCGGAAGCGCCCGACTCACAGGACTGGCCTTCCGCTTCAAACTCATTCGGATCGATCCACACGCCCAAACCAAGTTGGTGCCAATCATGCCCAGGATTGAAAAGACCTCCGCCGTTTCTTGGACAAAAAAGGAATCGGAGGAATTTATGCAGCATCTTGGCGCGGTCCATGCAGATCTCAGATGTCTCTGTGGTACCACAAGAATCATGCAATCCAACTGGACGCAATTACAATTTCAGTTATAATATTGCCGATTCAGTCTCATATCGACCAGCACGATATTGGTCTCACACCAAGCAAAATGGCAAACTGACAACAATACTCATACACGACAACTATCGGAATGTTTATGCTGCTCAGAACTTGGGTATCTCAACCATCCGGTTTGAGCGACGGTTCAACAGTTCTACAGGTCACAAGTGAGAGGCGGCACTTTAGTGTACTCCGCTATTGAATTATCCATTGCTTATTCAGTTCTCTGCCAAACTGGGATTGAGGGAGGAGGGAAGCCCGAGAACCCCCTTGAGGACACTCCCTCGAACCAACAGCCCCCCATCCACGCCGAAATTGGAGGATGGGTTGTGCGTCACCAACCCGCAAGACTCTTCAGCGGGCATCTGGCTGCGTCTGAACTCCCACTTCTGGGCTACCGCGCCAAGAGCAGTAAGGCCCAAACATAGGTTTGCCAACACGGAACCTTCCCCACGTACAAATCCCTGGCATGGCCACAGGCAATTGGGGCAAAAGGATCAAATTGAATGCTGAGGTTTACCGGAGGCTTCCATGTTTGAGTAGTGTCATCTTGGAATTCTCATGAGTCAAACTTGTACTTCATTGTCGCAACCACCGTCTACCTGGGAGTCCTTCAATGATTACTCATTGAGGACTCGGAAGCTTGGGGTGGAAAAATGCCGAAAGCCAGTTCTTAAAACCAAGTCACAAGGGGATAGGAAACGTGTGTTTGGTCATCCAAGCCTGGGGATTTACATGGATTTACTGATATTGAAGCAAAGCCAACCCCAAACATTCGACCCACTTTCAATCACTTCTATCAACCAACCTACCAGTGATATTGTGACCTCGAATCAACCAAACCAGCATCTTGCGACCAACTCCATGGAACATTCTCAGGGCCAAGCAACTAGATGGCTGTGGGTCGAAGGCTCCTCCTACTCCCATATTCCCGAACAGAGAATCACGAAGGATCTTCACCCAAGATCGCACGAGAGTGTCCCCGAGCGTTCCGACCCACCGGATGCCTTCCGCCCGGCGAAAAGGCCAGGACCTCAGCAGTCTTCGTGGGTGGTGGATGGATCAATGGCCAAACATAATTCAGTCTGGCATCTTCCTAATGAATGGTTGCTCAGCCACAGCAACGGATACTGCAATACCATGAATGATGCCAGGGCACGATCAGAAGATAAATCGACATGTTGTGGCACACCAAAACCTGTCCAAGCGATTCATGGCACGCACTCTGACTCGGTGACTCCGTGATCCGAACCATTGAAGGACAACATAACCCTCTGAACCTCACCGTAAGTCACACTTGCGATCTTGCGGAGTGAGCTCACAGTCATTTCTCAAGGACCCTCATGGTTGAAGCAGAAGGAGTGTCATTATGGAGCCGAAGGAGGCCAGCTCCAGGCAGAGTAGTTTCTTGTCAGAAAGGTGGTTGGACGACAGCCTGACACTGGCAATCCCAAAGTAAGGAGGAAGGGTAAATCAGCAATGATTCATATCCAAAACTTCTAGAGTCTAGGAATCTAGAGCTAGAACAGGGGATCCCTGGAATCCACTGACTGTCACGCTTATGCATGATCTGTTGAAGAAGTTTTGGAGAAACACCTCCTTTTCATGTGTCTTCGTGCCAGGAGAGAACTCTGATTAAAGAATCAGGAACCTACCCAAACACCCCGTATCACCCCCTCCTATAGCGGTCTCCCAATGGAAAGAAACGCTCTTCCTTTGTTTCAGGGAGATTAACTTTTCGATCTATTTTGGAGCCGACTTTTTTTTGCCCAGCTCACCATGGAGCGCCTGGATGGACACGGGAATATTTACACGACGCCAGAAGCGATACCTTCGTTGGTGCAACGAGCGGAACGAGCTGCACGGACCCCAGCGCTCTTCACAGCACGCGCGACGCGGGTCAGAATGAGGAGGTGAGTGTTTGCTGGTGGATTTTTCTCCTAAAATATGGGGAGTCCCTTACAACGTGGGTTTTGGAGTGTATGTTTTGTCAGTTCTCTGCATCACAAAGCACACCGCACACCCATGTAATTCTAAAAAAGGGTGGTCGTCTCTACAATAGATTCTTCAAAGCAAAGAAGGAGTCAATGGACAACTGCTGTTCACAGTCACAGACAAAGTCCTGGGATTCTGCCGAAAGGTCTTCGACGCTTCGAAACGGCCGTTGACCTCACAGCATCCAAAACCGGGAGGCATCTTGCTGTGTTTCGTTTAGACGACTCGGGAACGAATCATCACTGTCACGCCCAGTAATTCCCGCATTGATTACCACACAGCAGGGGAGAAGAACAGTGAGCAAAGCACTCCCAAAGGGATTGGCCACGTCAGTCTGGCAGAATTTCAACCTATGTAAGTTCTATGGGAACTCCTCCTGTCAGACTCCCGATCAACACCCATCAGTCAGTCAATCAATGAAGTTCGCTTTTTTCCAGTACGGGGTACCCTTCACCGAGTGTGATGATTGTCACCTGTCCCAAAAGTTTCTCGTAGTTCTCAAAAAAAAATATAAAGAAATAGAAGGATTGTCCGAAGACATACTCTAGCTTCCCATCGAACTGTCCACAGAAGGAAATGGTTTCCTCCTGTCACCCTCTCCCGAACCCACAGCCAGGCGTTGTCAAAGCCACTCCGGCGCGAAGATCATCACCAGCTCGTCTTGGAGCTCTTGCGCCTTGCGGGAGCCTGGCAATGCTCGTGGCTCTGGAGAGGTTGCCACAAGGAGAGGAAGTCTTTCAGACAAGTGAACGAGCCATACTCCTCGCAGCAGGAAAAAAGGGGCAAGTGTGATCTTGCATACATGGATTATGTGGAGGCCAAGTGGCACAAGCAGATCAGTTCTACAGTAGGGGTTCGTATGTTTGCTGCTTTTTGAGACAGGGGCAGGTCCTACCAACCCAGTCGCGCACACAATGAAAATCCACCGTAAAGATGTTTCAGCAATTATGATGAATTCGAGGCGCTCAGAATGCCAAGAAATCCATGGTCTCCTAGTACAAGAGGAACCACATTTGCCTTGACGTCTCCGGGAGCAGGAGGGAAACGAAAAATAATACAACTCAATATCCACTTGATTTGTTTGACCCGCATTTCTCTGGAACCACCATCACTCCACATCTCCATTCCCTCTCTCAATCCCCGAGATGTCAGCCCACCAACCTGAAGAGCTTGAAAGGATGGGATAGAGGAGGCAAACTGGCGACCAGGCAAAATACTGTGTGCCAACCTGGGGTGTCACAGTCAAAGGTTCACAGCCAAACGATGTCAATCAAACGGTTCAAAGGCAGATTTAGACGACATCAAGTTTCAAAAGCCCAAGGGTGTTCTAGCTAAAACCAAGCATCAGTGGGCCAAACACGATCTTGAGAATCTCCTTGGATCCTTTGGATCTCTTCCATCAACACTTCTGCTCCGGTACTTCGTTGGTTGCAGCCGAGGGGCATAGACCTCCAGAAGGAAAAGTCCCACCACCGCGTACAGCGCCAAATCTCGTTCCGTCCATAGCCACATCTCTCGGAAAAGGTACCGGGCCTCAACAGGTGGGAAGCGCGATTCTCTCGCTTGTGATGCGGAAAGGGAGAAACCATGGATGATTTGAGATTTTGTTTAACACATTTCAACAAACAAGAAGCAACATTTCAACAATTAAAGAAGGTGAGAAAGCTGTTGGAAGCTCTACTCAGATGTAAGACCAACAAGTCCCATGTCCCAGCGATCAACTTGTCGACTTTCCTGCGAAACTGGCGAAGTGTACGGCCAACTTATATACATGTAGCACCAAAGCAAATGCAGAACTTTTCGGTGCCATGCTTTCTTGAGCCAGCCAGTGAAGCTGTTGACGGGTTGACGGGGACTGGGCAAGGTCGGGTAGCCTCCACTCCGCAAAGCAGTCGATATTCTCAGTGGAGTATTCACATCAAATACTGTAACTCCTTTGTCTTCCTCCTTCTTTTAGTCTCAGTGCATCACTGCACGTACTCCGATCGGCCAAAGGAAATCTGTGACCCCGCGCTGGCCAGCCAATGATGTTCAAGATGGTATCCAGAGGCGTTTTCTTCTTTGATCGCCTGCAAGGCCATCGCCATATGGTACATATAGGCACCCGGGAGTTGGAGGCCAAGGGGTAGCTGGTTTGTCGCTGGTAGCTCCCAGGAAAACACACAGAAATGGTTCTGGTTCGGCCGTGCTTCGCTCCGGCTTTCCACGGCGTGCTCGGCCGATGAAGCAGACCATCGGCACATCCGATGAAGTAGATTTGTCTGCCAAACGCCAAACCTGATTTAACCACCTCGTAAGAAGCAGGTGTACTTTGCGGATGTTTCAAAAAGTACGGGACGATCGGTGTTTTGTGTGCTTTGTTTGATGAAGAGACATGATAGCTTGCGTTGTTTTGTTGCTGCTGGTACGCGCTGTAAATAGATTGTTCCTGGTGTGTGCTGTGAACTCATGCCACCCCAGGATGCCGATAGAGATTGTTTGTATATTTTATGTCTGACTCCAGTACCCTCATCTCTGACGCACCTTCTCGCTCTCTGTCGTACAGATTCCACATGTTTGCACGCACCTTCCTCTATGTGCAGCTCCGCACCGTCCAGAACACGTTCCAACTCTGCTCGTCATCCCACACATGCGAGCACTTTCTGCGTGCAACACACATGTCCACAACTGTTGGTAACTCGGAATTGTCTCTTCGAACATCAGATGACAAGGGGACGCATCAGCCTAGTTGCTAGAAAGGATCGTGAGATCGAGAGACCATTGTTGACCATCAGCGAATCAGCATCCCTGTTCCATTTGTGCCTCCAAAATGGCTCACCTCTTTCCTACTAAACCACTTGCTCACACGCTGGGCTGTTAGGGGCTGAGGTCCCGAGCTCTTTTTGTTTGGACTTTAACTTTGAGGCCTGGCCCAGTCATGGTCGATCTGGCAGTGCCTGTGGGTTGGAGCAAAATAAAGTATACCGTATACCGCCCCAATGGGACATGGAAGCGGTCAATCAGAGGCCTTGTGTGCCATGATGAACAGACTGAGACTACAGACTTCGATGTGCTCGACACTACTGCAAAGGTAAATCGTGATCCCACAGCGAGACAGGTATTGAACGACGAATCTTAGATATTGACAGTGCAGATTGATGTCAATACCCACTTTCCCAAAAAGAAGCAACTTTGACAATTCCTTGTAAAACAATAATACAATACAAAACAAATTAAAGAATGTCATCCGCGGAGACCAACTGGAGAAGGTGAAGATCACAGGTCAGGCACCAAAGAACTCCGCCCTTCCATCAAAAGTGCATCTGGTCCCAGATCACTCTCATCAAGTTCCCCACAATCCAACCCGTCACAACTTCAGCATTCTACAGTAAGTTCATCTCTGAAGACTGGCGCTCCGTTTACTAGCTAGGGTATTGTTGGGAAAGTTCCCCTTACGGTGAAGGCCATCGCTCTTAGGTTGGAGGCCATCGCTGTGGAGGCCATCCAGGGAATCTCGACACGTCACGTGTGCCTCGCGGAGTTTCTTCAAATTTTCTTCCGAGCCCGACTGTGCCATGCCCGCCAGGTCCCCACTGGAACCAAAGGACCCACTGCCTCGGTGAAGAACATCCCCGCTCGACTTACATCGCTTTGTGCAGGCGGTGGCAGGGTGGAAATGGGACACAAAGAATGAGGAGAGTAGAAGAAGAGAATCCTGAGCTTAGAGGCTTGTTTCACGCTTTGTTGCATGCAGAAAAAGCATGTGATGCATGTCGTCTTGCCTTCACTTCTTCAAAGCACAACAAAAGTGTTCGCTGTTGTGGCCCTCCTCGACCCTTCCTTCTTCCACACTGTTGTGTTGGGTCTGGATAAGACATGAAGACCACTTGAGGACCACGCACTCCGTTCATGCGCAAAGTGTTTCGATCGTTTGCATATTGTCATTTGGGAGCTTAAAATCCATACCGTTTCTGGACAAACCCAATGCAAACTATTTGATACTGTTTAGATACCCTACGGCCCTACAATTGAATCTGTGGCAGTTGAAATGGACCACCAACCTCCAAACTTTGTTTGCAGTCAGGTGCACAAAACGAGAAGTGTACTTGAAACCACTCAGGTGAAACTCGCCATTCGATAAACATCGTTTGGCTCAAGGTTGCGCGGAGAAAAGGATCCGTGCAGCACCACACGACACACCCAACCTTCCCTAGGTTATGAGCCCAACCTGCTGACGGGTTGTGGCCGGTAGAAGTCCACCCTGTTTTTTCAGGTTGTTGGTCCCCATGGAGCAGCATCGAAGACGCAAGCAACAGCGCTCTAGGGAGCGAAAAGAAGAAGCTGCCGCAAAGGAGGCTGTTGTGAAGGAGGCTGCCGCTGCTACACCTCGGCTGGAGGTGGGAGTCGCTGACCGAAAGCTCGACGCCTTGATCGAAGAGGAGCTTCGCTCGAGGGCCAAGTCGGTGCCGGCATCGTCGTCCACGGCAGAAATGAAACGTTTGGGAGCTTCCGCTGCGGAGTTGTTGAGGGCACCGCAAGGACCACCTGTGACCTACCATCCTCAACCTGCACAAGAACAAGTACACCAATTGGTGATGGATCCTAGGGGACAGTCGATGGGTTTGGGGCATCTCCAAGAAGCGGTGCGCCACTCGTTTGAAGTTCTGCAGAACACACTACGAGGACCTCAACAACCGGGTCCGACTCTACTTGATCCACTCCTTCGCCAAGCTGATCAGGGAGTCCCTCATGTGCACGATCATGGAGGTCCTCCAGGGCATGCGTTGGCAGCTGGAACCCCGGTCAGGGATGTGAGATCCGATCGGGGTGGATCTATGGTTTCTCCAATGGTGGGATCGGTGGGCCGCGAAGCTCTCCATCCAAGAACGCTGGATCCCTATGCGGCGGCAACTCCGGTGGGGCCTCTCAGCACTGTGAATCCTTTTTGGAGCACTTCACTTCAACAGGCTGCAAAAGGTGAAGGGCATGTACGTATGGCTGAAAGCAGTGGAAAGAAACCTGCACCTTCCAGTCCCGGAGCTGGCGATGTGGAGAAGATCCGAGCTCAGATCTTGCGGGAGGCGGAGGATAAGTTCGCTCGTGAAGTCAAGAGGTTGACTGATGGTGGAGCACCTGGTGATGCTTCGTCCTATGCCTCGGCCGCGAGCGCTGGTATTGGTGATGGAGGCCGCGCTCACCTGAACCTCCTGGACTACCTCCTGGTGATCCTGTGGGCGCGGGAGTTCCCCCATGCACCAAACCTGACCGTCCTCCAGGACTTCATGCTGGACGACCTCAAGGTGACTCTACTCAGCCTCCGGTGATTCCGGAAACCGTGAGGAGCTTGGACCTTCCGAGCTTGCCTCATCCCTCAACTGAAGGAGCTGCACTTCAATATGGAGATTGGTTGACTATGACCTATCCGTTGATGGCAGACCTCTCGGCGACTTCTCAGTTGTGGTGGGATGGATGCTTGGCTGCAGCTGGTGAACTCTATGAGAAGTGGCTCACTGCTACTCCTTTGGAGCGCCTTCGCTTGCGCCCTGTGGAGAACATCGACCCTGTCCACCAACGTGTTGAACAGCGTGGTGTATCGCTCCTCCTGAGCATCTTGCCCGACCAGCTTCGAAGAGATGTGATCGCCAACAGGAAGGTCACAACGGTCAGCATCCTTTTTCGACTTCATGTCCTTTTCCAGCCTGGAGGAGGTGCCGAACGAACTACACTTTTGAAGTGTTTGACGGAAGTGAAAACATCCAACAACATCCAGGACCTCTTGGTGACTACAAGGACCTGGCGACGATGGCTCCAGCGAGCAGAAGAGCTTCGTTTGACCCTGCCTGACCCGTTGATTCTCATGCAGGTGTTGGGGCGCATCATGGACTCCCTGTCGAAATTGGGAGGAAGTCAAGTGGCCTACCGGGTGTCTTCGGTGAGGCAGGAATTGCTGGTGGATCTGAGGCCCGAACTTCAGTCCATCAAAGATCTCAGTGAATACTTGCAGACGGAGATGGAGGACCTGTCGCTTATGGTGGTGGCCCCAAAGACATCGGCTACAACATCATCGACTCCGTCTAGCCAGACCGCTGCACCGGTTGTGAAAGCACTGCACTCAAGCCAAGGCCAAGATGAGAAGCCGAGGTCGCCGTGCAGATTTTGGGGCTCTCAGTCTGGGTGTCGGAGGGGGGGACACGTGTGGCTACGCGCACTCCTGGGATGGACTGGATCGTCAGCAAAGATGTTTCTTCTGTTCAGGAGAAGGTCACATGATGAAAGATTGTCCTCACCGTCAACAGAGGGGCACCAAGGATTTCAAAAAGAATGCCAAGGTAAAAGGCGTTGGTGAGGAGGTGTCGAAGGACAGTCCTACCAAGGAAACACAATACAGAAATTCTGAGGCTTCGGGAACTACATCGTCTCCGAGTTCATCGCTCTTGTCATCGCCAACGGTGTCTGGAGGTGGATCGGGAAAGAACGGTGGTGGGTCGCCGGAGAAGGAGTTGGGGGGTGACCGAAAGTCAAAGGTTGACTCC